AATTTTTTTTTCTAACTCGAAAAGTTTGAATAGATTTGAATAAAATTTTAACCTGAGGTTTGTCTTAGCCTAATTAATATTCCATAAAATTTTGGTGGTGATCCTGAATATTTGGCAAAACTACCCCCCATGGGTGGGGGGGAGGTTTGCATTTTCGAATTTTTTGCTCATAGATCAAAGTAACTATGTATGATGAAAACATAAAGATAAGAAAATACACCATATGAAAAACATATCATGTTTAGTTATTTCTATGGAAAATTTCTTCATTGTCGTTTCTTGGACGCTTGCCGGATTTTTGAAATTATTCCGAAAAAAAGAAGGTTGGTCTCATCTTATGTGAAATTTGATAAGCTTTCAGAAAATAACCTCATATTTTTATTATCTCTAATCATTGCGTCACAATTGCCGATTTTCTAAGGTACCGTCAAAAAATTAATATTTCGGTCGACATCGAAAATCACTGCTACCACCTAAAAAATAACGGTCGAGCCTTGACATTTTCAGGGGAGAACCGGGGGCCTAGAAACTACTTGAAAATGCATTAAAGTCCATTTCGGCAAGAGGGGCGAAAATAGCCGAAAAAACAGCAGAAGGTCCCCTTCAATGCTCACTGTCTGACTTGGAACAACCCGTTGTCCTCCTCTGCCTCATGATTATGCAGGGCCAGATGTTATCTTAACCAGATGCTCCAGACCTTCCCAGCTACCTCTCTTCTCAACAAACACGTGTCCACACACCTCAGAGGGGGAGTACTAGACCTCTCCTTCGTCTCCACGTCAATACTACCTTTAACAACCTGGTCTCTACATCCATACTTAGCCTCTCATCACTTTGCATCCACCATTACGGTTGACCTACCTCGTCTACAGAGGCGCGCTCCCGAACCACGCTGGAACTTCAGGAGAGCTGATTGGCACGAATTTTCTTACTTGATGGAAGAATGGGTGGAAACTCATGTGCCAGCTCATGACTTAGAAGACTAAGAAAAAGAGATTGTTGCCGCCCTCCACCATGCAGCCAATCAAGCCATCCCCATAGTAGGCACCAGTGTCTTCACTCACAAAAACACATGGTTTTACAACGATAGAGTCCGTCTCATCATATTGAAGAAAAAACTCAAACAGCATTTTTCTCCCTCCCTTCTTGAAACCTACCGAGCAGCTCACAGGTTGATCTGCAAAGAAATTCAAGAAATCCGCACCAACTCTTGGTTAGAATGGTATGAATCCCTTAATGCTCACACCCCTCCATGACCTATGGACGAAACTTAACAGGGTCTCTGGTAAACATAAAAAACAGCCTAGTCACCCTCAGCCATTGCAGATTGCAAATGATATCATCCAATCCTTTCAAGCAAGAAGTAGCAATACACAGTTACCGCGATCCACCCTCAACAGAACCCAGAACCTCTCACATCGCCGTGAACTCAGTATCCACACTGCTATTGCTCTCCCTCGATGTCCCATTTACACTGTATGAGATCAAGAAAGCCATCAAAACCAGCAAGGATACAGCCCCAGGCATAGATAAGATCTCGTACTCTATGCTCAATCACCTTGGCGATCACGCACTCATGCAGATAACCAACCTATTTACAGCCTCACTCACCTCAGGCCGACTACCGTCCCCATGGAAAGAAGCCAATATTCATCCTATTCCAAAGAACACCACACCTCCCTCCTACCATCCCATATCATTGTTGTCATGCCTTAGCAAAACAATGGAACATGCTATCTTAGCAAGACTCCAACACAAAGTACCCTATGCTGACAAGCATATTTTCGCTTACTGCAAGGGACTTGGAACCAAAGACAACCTCGCCGCCATCCACAGCACCCTTGATGGAAAAGATGGTCTTGCAGTCTTCCTAGACCTAGAGAAGGCTTTCGAACTTGCGAGATGGGAAGTCATTGCACAAATCCTTACCTCAAGAGGTATCTCGGGCAAGATACTCTCCTGGACTAATGACTACCTTCTCCATCGCAAGGGAAGAGTCAGATTCCAGGAGCACTACACAGTTTTCAAGGTTTTTGAAAATGGTACCCCCCAAGGAGGGATTTTAAGTCCCTTGTTCAATCTTCTCATAGCAGAACTCCTTGCCATTCAACTCCCTCCGGCCACACACCTTTTCGCCTATGCTGACGACCTCCAACTGATCGCCACTGGCGCCTCTCGATTCCCACATGCTCAGCAAGCTCTTGATCTCATAACCAGTAAATGTCACACCCTAGGACTTAAACAAGACGAGGGCTCTACAAATCAGACACTTCATTCCCAACCACCATCTGTACATAAAAACCAATAAGATAGAGTGGGTCACCTCCCACAAATGCCTCGGAATCATTCTCAACACTCAAAATGATTCCTCCTCCCAATTGAAAAACCTGTTGGACAAAACCAAAGCAAGAATCAATGTCTTACGATGTCTCACCACAACAAGACTAGGAGCTGGCTTCCATGTCTTAAGATCGTTCTATGTACACGCTATCCGGTCGCTCATAGACTACAGCTCCTTTTCCCTACTGTCTCTCACCCAGGTTAATAAACTTGAAACCATCCAACATGTCATCCTCGGGGCCCCTAGGTGGACGCGCCTCGTGAACCTGCGTCTGGAGGCCAAGTTAGTTCCCCTACATATAAGAATATCATGTCTGCATAGTCTCCAATCATAGACAGTCACCTCTGGGAGATTCTCTAAGACGGATCCCAGACACCCTCCCCTCATCGCCGCGTTCTTCCCTGGCATCATGAAATCCACCAAAGTGTCACCTCCTTCAACCTCCTTCCTGCTCTATTGTCCCGCGGCATTGATGCGAGAGAAGAATTGTTCTCCAAATGACCTACAGAATCTACGAGAGACTATCTCTTCAATTGAGAATGACAGAGACACGACTGTCATCTACACTGATGGGTCTGTTGATCCAGAATCAGGCAGAGCCGTAGGTGCATTTCTTTGCAATGACTGTGTACAGGCATCGAGACTCAGCAATGATTCCTCCATCCTCCAGGCAGAACTGTTCGCCATTTGATCAGCATTGACATATGCACTCTTCTGTACAAAATCTACAGTATGTATTTTCACGGACTCCCTCTCTGCCATTCACACCTTACAGAACCGTGCTCACTTGTACAATGTTTACTTAGCAACATCAACTCTGTTCAAGCTACAACAGCTGACTCAACAAGGCAAGACGGTCCGAATAATGTGGATTCCTAGTCATGTCGGATTAGAAGGCAATGCTCGTGTAGACTCTGCAGCCAAATCCAGCCTCCACCAAACTCGCATACAGCCGATTAAACCAAGCATCAGCCAAATCAAAAACAGAGCCCAGATTACAGCAAAGCAAATTACACTCATCCAACACCAAGTCTGGGTTCAAGCAGGTTCACCTTCGGCGACCTGGTACAAAACTGTCACTGAATACGAAACCATCACCATCCCCCGTTCCATGTCTAGGAAGGATGCTGTTATCATCCACCGGCTACGGCTAGGCTATTTGTAGAAGATGAACGAGTGCCAAAAGAGTGCAATCATTGTCAGACTGTGGTGAGCCATCCACTAACACACTACCTACTAGACTGTCAGGCACTCTATCACAATAGACCCCACAATTTCAGGGATGTACCAAACAGAGAAACCTCACAGAGAAGCACTGTAGCAGCAACTTATGCCCGCACCATACTTGAATCAGAGGAATCTTTCAAAACAATCTCTGTGGCACCTCCCCCAAGATAAACTTTAACCAAAGGTAAACTCAATACAAATCAAACTCAGAATAAGATCACCTTAACTAGCACCAATAACCGGGTGGCGAAAGCGGAACCCGGACTACCTAACTCACGGGTAGCGAATGAATAAAAAAAAAAAAAAAAAAAAAAAAAAGTATATCTCTTTATATGTGTGTTCATTCAGCCATATTTTATTCTGTATCTCTCAGGCTAGGTTACATTATTTCTATCCATACATGTAGATACATTTGCGTAGGAGATGGATAAAACTTTGGCAATTAATTTTAAAAAAGTCAAAGTTGGTCCCATATCCATCTGGACGTAAGGGACATGTTTTTTTTTTAGAGAAACATGCTTACTAAGCCGCGGGATGATGCGGTAGGGTGGCCAGTTCCTTTCCGCCCCGACTTTGAACCCAGAATGCTGGCCTCAGCATACCAGTGCTCATTTACAGCTGAGTCGACTGAGAGGGGCAGCCGAGCGCGAATCCAGGACCATGTGATTGCAAAGCCAGCACTCTACCTCTAAGCATTGCCACCTACTAAGGGATTTTAAAACAGGCACCTGAATATTTGTGAATATTTGTATTGCTTCTACAGTTTCCATATACAAAATATGCAAAAGGAAGGATCAAAAGACATTTACTGCTGTATAGAAAATTTATCAAATGTATCACTATCATTTTATATGTTTTTTTTCTTTAATTTAATTATTTTTTATTTATTTATTTATTTATTTTTTTTTTTTTTTTTATTCTCTTACATTTGACCACGATATGCTCCGCGGGACATTGTTTTAAAAAATGCAATACTTTTTCACTTCGAAACAGAGTACAATACGTTTTTTTTTTTTCCTTCTAGTTTTAATTTAAACTTTTGGAATTTTAATTATTCGATATTCATAACAATGGGTCACTGGGACCCAAGATCTGAAGAAAGTAGAAGCACAAACATTTTTCAAAAATAATATGACAAAATAATGAAAGAAAATAAAGGTAAAGAGTAGGCTAAACTTTTATTTTGTTCTCAACACATATACAGTGCAATTACACTTTTTGGCACAATTATGTCGTTTCTTGCGGCTTAATTTCTCTCTTGTTCAACTGTTACCCAGAACATAAGATGATTCGTGACGGATTTCCATGGCCTCCCAGAAACAGAAAATGAAACACATGGATTTATGGGCTCTATATGATTTCATTTTTTACATCTTAATTTATATCGCTTCTCGTCCTTGCCGATCTTACTTGATTTGTTTTTTTTTCTTGA